TAATATGTTATACAGTTGAAAAAGGCTTGAAATGAATACCCATCAACAAATGTGCATACAGAAACAAACAGAAACCAAAAATATTATATTCATAATGTGAATTATACAAAATCATTTAATTTTTTTTCAGCGTCACTTTAAAGTCACTATCCACAATCAGAAATGATAAACTAGTTCAAATGGTGCTCCAGAATAAAAATCTACAACAGGGGTTTGGCTTCTAGTGAATATTGGATATTTTGCTAATGCTAATCTGCAGGATATGCGAGTAAGCTAACAAGTTTGCCATGTCAACTTTAAAAGGTGATAATGTCGGTTTTCAGTTTACAGCTGTGGTCAAACATTCTGTTTGTGCATATGTTATAGGGAAATAGACTTTGTTAAACACTTTTTTCATCCGTGTTTAAGAGGTCAAACATGAGGTCAGTCCTCTGTTTTCAAGGTGCTTTTGGTTTTACTATCCTACATATGGTCAATGGAACGTAAAACAATAGTCAGTAGATAACCATCAGGTGTCTGCCTTCCAATGACCATAATTAACAACCACTGTTCCAGAATGATCATTTAAGCCAAACAGAAAGCTAGAGTGCATGAATTGCTGAAATACTTTGATGAAATCTGATGAGACTTGATGACCTTTTCATGAAACACGTTCAGATGTGAACTATTGATATGTTTTGTTTCTTAAGAATTTTGAATGAGATGAAGACAGTCCAGAGCCTCCTGCCACCAAACAACACAGCCCAGGCCTACATTTCTGGACTCATTAACATCACTCACTTCATCTTGGAGTCTGGCCAAGGCAAGTCAGCTTCCCTGTGTCACTGTAGGAGGACAACATGTTGAATCTTGACAAACTCTGATGAGGTCATATTGTACACATCATTATTGAAGCGTTAATGCGAGATAACTAAAGAGCTGCGGATCAAAGTAAAACAGTGTTTTTGTTGTCTGTTGTAAAAATAAGATCCATTCACCTCTAGCGTTACTCAGAGGATTTTGTTTGTATAGTTGAAATTTAGGTCCACTTTGTGAACAATATTTCTTGTGATTTCAGGCAACATGAGCCTCTGGGCAAGTTTTGAGTCTGCATCACTAAAAGATTTGCCCATGATTACTGACCAGGTAAGGCTTAAACATGTCATGTGTGTATGAGAAGTTAATATTTTTTTCTCCTTTTAATTAAGTTTAAGTCTATGCATGTTAAATATGACATTGCATTAAAAATAAGATGTGGATAAAACATCTCAGTTTAATCTCTGTTGATACTGGTACTGTTGGCCAACGTCATGTTGCAAACCACAGATGTGTTGAGATAAGTTAGTTATGAGGTTATTGATGTGCAGCATCATTTAGCATCACAGGCAGACAAAAACATGATCTTATCATTTATCAAAGTTGTGTGCACTTAATATTATTGAAGTCTGCATGTGAAATATGTAACCTATTTTCCTTATTTTCCCGCTCTTTTATTGTCAGGTGGGAAAACTCTTGTGCATGCTTTGGCCTCTTGTCATGGGAGGTCTAGGCTCACAGACGGCTGCTCCATCTCTGCAGAGCTTTGCTCATCTTCCTTCAGTCCTGGAGCAGATGATGACCGGGAAGGCAAACAAAACCACGTGGAACCAGTACGTTTACCACTTTAGTAATTATTTGGTGGTGTACATAACTTGTACATCTGTGTGAGTTGATAGTAAAGTTCTTTTTTTTTTAACTTGAGACTGTTGTTCAGTTGCTTCTTGCCCTTAACCGAATGCCATGTGTTTTCTCACAGACTTGAAAAGATGCTGTCAAGTTATTTGCAGATACATGGAACAGATATGTGGGACCCTTCTGTTATTCCACTGATTGAAAAAACTGTTGGAAATACAGTAAACAGCATGCAAGCAGAGATTGGTAAGAACACTACTGAATAACTATTGTCTTACATTTGTGTAGCCATGACAAGAATAGAAGGAACAAAAGTCACTGAAGGAAGAATTGCTTCATATGATCAGTGCATATAAAATATTAAACACAGATGATGATCTTTTGACTTGGCTTGGTTATACCTTGCAAAACACACCTTTCACACCATGACACATTCTAAACTGGCCAACTCTCCAGTATGTGTGCAGTACCTCTTTAATGGATCAGTATCAGCTATAATTAGTTATATCCCATCCTTTGTTTCATGTCAGTTGAACACACAGGTGTTTTGCATAGTACAGCCATTGTCAGCTCTCTCTGCTGTCTTCCCCACTCCGATGAGCTGTGTGTGCAGAAGCTTGAGCTCGGAGGAAGGAGGAGGAGAAACAAGAGAGCGGTGGAGAGCTGCACATTCACCACACAGTAATCTATTAATGTAATCCACTCAAAAGATGTATGGATGATGATAATAAACACTCAACACAATACAGATCATCAGGTAACTCAGGCAAAGGCTCCACCAAAGAAAGAAACACTGTAGGAGACATTTAAAGGGAGAGAAAAATTCCCTCAAGACACCGACAAGACCAAAAAAGATTACAAACAGGCTTTGTTTGGCTGTTTTGTAGCCTGCTTTGTTATTATGAATAATAAAAAAACATTAAGCTATCGGATTGGGACTAAGTATCACTCAATATTACTCAGATTGGGATCGGGAGCAACTTTATTGCGATATCCCTGTCTTGTACCATTTCATGTTTAATATACATACCCTGTTTTTGTACTTGTGTCCCCCCCCCCTCCAGAGCTGATACAAAGCCTACAGATGCCAGTGGTGACCCTGATGGAGGAAATTGCACAGTCTGTGAACACCAGTCATTTTAACTTGTCCGAAGTCGTGGAAAGACTGCCACTTGCCATTGAACGCACCATGCAGGCAGCTCAGCAGGTTAGACTGCCACTGTTCTCCCTTGATGTCATCACATTGATGTCATTGAGTGTCATCACAGTCATTTGCTGGCCTTTTGTTGTGGACATGTTTGCATGTGTGTGTGAGAGAAACAGAGAGAGGGAGGTAGAAAGGAGCTGTACCGTTGCATTAATCTTCATGCATTATGGCCATTAACAATACCAATCTTTCAATGCCTATCTCTGATGTAAGAGCACGTGGGGGCGTGTTGTTCTTTGTATGTTTGGAATCTGTCAGTTTCACCTGCCTTCGTAGGCATTTGCATGCATATTTACCCTTCAACAAGGCTTTTGACACAACAATCTCACACCAGATCACAAATAGCATGTGGGTATGACTGGTTAACACTCTGAATGACTTTATCAGGGTGCAGCTGTCAACTTGATGTTGGTGGAGTTTGTTACTTAAATTATTTATGCCTCATCTGAAAGTAAATGTTAAGAAACATTGCTTTTGGTGACACTGATAGAAGGCCATCTGATCTACATTGTAATGGAAAAAAACGCAGACAAGCTGAAACAACTTTAGTGCTTGTCAGATTTTGTCACATATGCTTCCCCAAACTAGATCCTGAGCCACAAATTGGCAGGCTGATACTGACAACATTGCCTTATCACAGATAAATCAGTATTTATGTTGCCATGCAAAACAAAAAGCAAAACAAGCAAACAAAACAGCAGCATATTGAAAGGTGTAACGTTTTGTAAACCCGCAGTGATACACCTGACAGGTCTGTCTGGTCTATTCAGTAATTACTATTAAGTTACATCATCACCTCTGACAGTGTTAATTATAGCCTTTATAAATATAGCATTTACTGCAAGGCTCATTTATTGGATCAACTTAAGTCAAATTATACTGGCCAAAAACAACACAAATCACAATTTTACAATGATCAGAATTTATTGGGATCTTAGTTTGATTATCGAATGAATAGTAGTATCTTTAAACCTACGAATAAAAAAAATTCTTGGAGGGGATTCTTTAAGACAAAATCCTCTCAAATTCTGGATTTGTGGTGTAATGTTCATTTACTGTGGGTTCATTGACATGAAAGTTTGGGAACCCCTGTACTAGTAAACTGGTAAATTTGGTATGTTTTGTATTTTATTTAATGGTATAGTTTGACATCTTGGAAAACCTTTCTTGCCAATACATGAGAAGATTGAAACTACTTTCATGATTTTACAAGCTACAGTATCGCCAGCAGGGTTTAGCTTAGCTTTGCAAGACTTGAAACCAGGGAAAGGGCTAGCCAGGCTCAGCACAAAATCTCACAATGAACATGTTACATTTCATATGTTTAACTTGTAGAAAAACTAATTGGTAAAAATGACAAATTACCGCCGTACAATCACAACTTGTTAAGAAAACTAGCTGCTTATTTACGGCATCAATCTTCTCATCTTTTGGGAAAGCAAAAAGGTGTATTTGTCAAAATGTCAAAATATTACTTAATTTACTTTAATCTGCTGATCAAAACCTACAAATACATTTTACAGTTATTTTTATGTTTATTAATCATATTATCTCACCTCAGTAAATTGTATGTATTGTATCAGTATCAGATGAGCTCTAATCCATACCATGATGAAGGTATACTGTTGTGTAGCAGAACACTATTAAAGTGCTGTGCTTTGTCATGTGTATACCTTGGAGAGAACCTTACAACCCTTCTGACTCTATAGTTGATTTACTGCTTGTGCGCAAACATTGTGTGCACATATGCTGTATGTATGAGCATGTATGTGGAAGTCAGTCTTTGAGAAAACATAATACCTGTGTGAAACTTTTGCCCTTTTATTTGCCTCTCTGTAAAATGCATGAACAGAGAGATTATGTTATTTCCCACTTGCCTTTGCCTTTTTCTCCGAACAATGCTTATGAAACACAATAACACATTTGTCTTTTTGTTTACATCTTTCCCTCTAGGCTAATGGTACATTGGAGTGCAGTGAAGTTCTCAATGCATGGGAGCCAGTAAGAGAGGCAGCGGAATTAAGCCATGCCGCCATGGCTATGTGGTGCAACATCAACCTGCAGCCTGTTTTAGAGGCCTATAATAGAGGGACCCCCATGAACATGAGTGTGAGTATATGCATGCCAAATTAAATAGGACATTGCAGACTAACATAGATAGAAGGGCATATTCTGACTTTGTTTATTAGATCAGGCTAGAATGTTGGTGCAAAAAATCCACTTATTCAACTACAGTTAACATTTTCACCACTTGGTGGCAGTGTTGACACACAGAGAAAGCTGCCACACTGCTAACAGTCCATCTCTGCTGTATGTTGTCTGCACAGCACATGGATGTGGGACCAGTGACTGTGAATGCCACAGCTGCCAGACTTGTTAAGATTGTACATTCTATCTACCAAGTCATCATTAACCGCACAGTTGTGACAGAGCACCTCATCATGACTTTGACCAGTCAGCTCTGTGCGCTGACAGACCAGCCACTGAGCCCAGAGGCACAGCATCAGTGGTACAACCAGCTCCAGGACATGCAGTTGCAAAACAGGTGAATATTTGGGCTTACAATCAGATTATGCCATTGCTAACATGATATGCTTTTCAAAAGGTTATTTGTTGTGAAAATGGCATCCCAGATCTATGTGATTATAAAGAGAACAGTTTTATTTCAAAGCCTGCTGAAAAAAAAAAAACACCATGCATGAGGATAAATCCACTATAGCATACTTTAGTAGACGCTTTAGTAGAGCAGACAGACCAGACCACACTGAAACCACAGGATATGAGCAAAGTTCAAGCAATAATAGCAAAATGTATTGCAATCACAAAACGGAACCCACTGAACATTACAGCCTCATCGTATTTAACAATCTGAGTGGACAAATACATTTGCTGCACATTTCCCTTTAATTTTGTCAAGAGTCAGTTGCATCGCTACACAGACCCGTACTAACCTATACATGAACTTACTACTCCATTTGTTGTTACATTATCCACAATGCACCAGTCAGGCCAATTTGATTCATACATAATTACACAAGGAACTGGAGTGACATTTGCATTCGACTTGAATAATTTAATGCAAGTCTGAAAAAACAGGCAGACCTGCTCAGATAGCGGCTTAACCATGATTCAGCTAGCTGAGACATCCTCTTAAAATTGATTTCCCTTTATTCGCCATCTGCAATAATGAGCCAGGCATGGTGATAAGGATCACATTCTGCATATCGCAGGGAATCAATCAGGTCTGACTACATGAGTTATAGATCATTGATCACAGTGGAAAGACTCCATGGTCTATTATCGAGAAAGAAATGGGAAAAAACTATGCTGCTAAGTATAAAGCAAAATGATGAAGAAATATTACTTCTGGTCACAACTGAGAAATTTGAATTCTGTGAAATCCTTGTATTGTGTAAATGAATCAAAAACATGGCATAAAAGAAGTTGGTGAGAATTAGTCCTTAGTTTATTATCTTATTCAAGTTCTTTTGGTCTTATAATCGACTTAATTTTGTTCTATTCATGTTGATATTTTTAACATGAGACTATAACTTGACATTAATTGAATTTTTTCTCCTCTTCAGTTTATCTGCCATCAAATTGCTCTCAGACGAGCTCCTCAGTGTTACTCCCTACCTCCAGCCTTACATTAAACCTATAGAGAAAACTCTGAGGCACATCCTGGAGAACTACCATCTCATTCAGGACAGCAGCTCAGCCCAGGATGTCTTCGGAGAAGCAGCAATGATCCTCCTGTCCTCTGCAAACATCACCGTGGATGACATGTTCTCCATGATGTGGGGAAATTTTTCTGGAATCAATGACGCATCTGTCACTGGCATGATAAGGGACGCTGTCAAACTGATGATTGACATGAAAATATTCGGGGATGCGCCTATGGTTTACCAAGCGTTGGAGCAATTTCTGGCATTCAAAAACACAAGCTTCATTGTGCAGAAGTTGACCGAGATGGCTGCATGGTTGTCTTCCACTGAAGCGTCTGGACTGGACCTGCTTACTCAGGCTCTGCCCAAAATCTATGACATCCTCAGGCCTCTCTTGTCTGTTTTTACCCAGACGGGTATGGGCATGAAACCAAACATGGAGCTGTTTACAGACCTAGCAGGAAACATAATTGCAATGTTGAGGCAGCTGGTAAGCACCAGTGGTCTTCTGGCCCCAATGAACCACCATCCGATGTTTCAGCACGAAATGACAGGCGGTAACCATACGATGAAGGGCCACCGGCGCAGACGTGAGGCCCCGTTGATGCCTACAAGGGACCCCATGGATGACTTCATAGACCTGTTCTACATTGACTACCCTGCCATGTTCAAAGCCATCTCGGTCCCTCCTACCACAGCAGAAATTATGGAGACAGTCCATGTGTTCTTTGGCAATCCTGATCTGAACGTTGTGGTGAAAGGAGCTACTAACAACATGCCATGGGGCTTGAATGCCTCTAGGGAAGAGACCGTTGATGCTGCCCTCGGGATGCTCACCTTCTTCACTCTCCCTGGTGCAATTCAGATGTAAGTCTTATTTACACTAGCCCAAACATGGATTTAGGAATGATAAAAAAGAAAGCACCTTTTTAGCTTCAGATATGAATTTGCCCCAACATCTAAAAACAACTGCTTTGAATCTTGCCTTTTTGGCTTGTTTTTCACCATTATATTACTCTGTGGGCCTCTGTTTCATAAGCAGTCCTTGTTCAATCTTCCCCAGGTCATCAATGGATCTCTTGATGAGTGCTGCTCATATTCTTCCTGATGGCTTTCCATTCTCTGCATTGCTGAAGAATATAACCACAGCACTTGCCAGAGAATCTCAAGGTAACTAAACGGTTCAGATCTACCTTCTTTCAGAGTCTGTCTGGACATTTAGAGGCCTGCTGGACTGAGGGCAGCTTCGTAATGAGATAGATATGTGCACTCATTAGGTAAATGGAGAATCCCCAAATGAATGACGTAATCCTTTTAGTTTCTCTAAATTAACTTTACCTACTGACTCCTCAGTGAAATCCCTCCCACTCATGCTTAGTCTAATTGCTGTACTGTAGAGCTCACACAGATGCTACAGCTTGTGTTTGCATACCTGCTGTGACAATATGTATGTAAAAGCACAGTCTGTCAGCCTGTACCATTAAACAGCGACACAGCATGGAAGAGTGCCACCTTTTTCTCTGACCTTCATAGCTATTGCTGGACCATGGGAAGACCATAAACCGTTTTGTTAATGCTGTTGTTGTATACATGATTATAGCGCAGCATAATTCATTCTGGAGATATGAGAAATAAGACTTCACATCGGCTTAACGTGAGCTCCCAAAGAGCCCAAGGCCATATGGCCCTTCTCCAGCAGAAAGCCACTCAGCACCTTTTTAAATCTCATTAGCAAAGTAGAATTCAATCACTTATCCCGTCCGCCCTCGCTAAACGTCTCCCCTCGCACTCACACAAGTGGACATCTATGACCTCCTTTTAATTGGCGTCTGTGCTTGTGTGATAATGTTTTTAGTGCACAGAATCTCTTTGTAAGCAGCAGCAGCTTCACTTTTCTGAAACCCCACTCATATTCTTCACACACATACACCCAGAGTGAGCTGTTGTAATTGCAAGGGCCTCTAGGTGTTGAGCACCCTGAGATTAAACATCACCATTGTCTAATTTTGGCCTAATTAAATATTCTGTCATCACATCTTGTTGCCTGAGGTGGTGCCTTTCTTAGGGCTTGTCAGATGTGTTTTAATGCACGACAGCATCTAGTACTGCTGGCCCCTCTGGCCCCATCAGTCCCGCACAGGGCTTCACTTTAAGCACATCATTTGCTGTTCGCTGCCTGATGACGCTGCCCCGTAATGGTGCGAGACGTAATGAAGCCCAGTGGGATGTCATGTTATTCTGTCACCTTACAGACCTTATTGCCCTCTTTTCCCTTTTCCATCCCATCTTCCTGTCTAACTCTAATAACCTCTTTCTTACCCTCATTTTTTCCCCTCTCCTTCCCTCTCTCCCTTCCATTACAGATAACCTGATGCTCATGCAGCAGACCATCCAAACAGCCGCTGAGCTCTTCCAGATCAGCCCGACAGATCCGCAGTTCTCACAGCAACTTGGCCACCTGAAATCCCAGGTCTCTGCACTGAACCTGCCACTTTCAAACATTTAACATTCATCAAAATTGGAAACATATTACTTCATTATGTCATAAAACCCTGTCAGGTTTCAAGTGTTTTAATAGAAGTGTGTTAATATTATGATACTGTGTCGTTTGAAAGTGTCCACCACCCACTGTGGTAGTGGCAGTCAAATTGGAGCGAAATATAGCTGCAACATGAACATGATTATGCGACAAAAACAACAACACCAATTAGACTTTGGTAACAGTTTGAAAGTTTGTAGGTTGACAAGGATTGTGATATGTTTTTTGATTAAATTCCAAAAGCTCTTATTTGTTGCCAGTGCCAAAAAATCTGCACATAATGAATCACCTAATGGGAAAGGCTGAAAGACGGAATCGTCAACACTAAAACGTTTCAGAAAATCCCAGATTAATCAAATTATTTTGTTTGATAGATTTTTGGGGCACAGTGAGGCAGCTTTTTTACAGGTTCTAACCCTGAAAGTCCTGAAATAAACCATTTAGTAAAATATGGGCCTCACAGTATGAATAACCAACCAATCTTGGTGTGTATATTTGATCCTGAGATTTGTTGAAAAACAAATTCTGGTGCTTACGTGAGTGATGTTTTTGTAGGTGTGCACCTTGGAGAACACAGAGTCTGTGCGTCTGTTGATGGTGGCCCTCTCCATCGAGCCCGGTCAGCTGTGTAACACTTTCCTACCCAGCCTCCAGATCTTGGTCAAGAGTCTGATGATGAACATGACCGCTCTGACCGATGCCATCTTCCAGGCGGTCATTGGAGACCCTAGAACCTACAATGTCCAGTCAATTTGGTACAGCACTGTCTCCTTCTTAAAGGCTTTTTGTTTATGTTTGTACAGAGGAAGCTGCTCTCGTCATCGTCTAGATATTTTCCTCTCTTATCCCTTTTGTATAATTTGCTAAATAGTATCAGAGAGTGGTCTGGGCTGTTGCACTTTACAAAACCCACCTTACAGGATTTGAGGGTATTAAAGTTTGCAAAATGAGGCAGTTACCTCTTGTTGTTGTTAGGGGCCAATAAGCAATGTTACCTTGCATTGATATAACTGAATTTTCACCTTAGCCCATTTCGCCTGCAGCACGCCTGGCAGCATTTTTTTTTTTAAACGAGCCAAGGCTTCTTCTAAAGAAATATATTTTTGTATATTTCTTGTTAAAAGTGCATTTATCTGTTTGTGTCTTATGTTTCTCTCTGTGTGTATTTGCATGCATGTGTGTATGTGGATACAGGAACTCTGAGTTGACTCAAGGTTTCAGCTTTAACACCAGCAGCCTGCGCTCTCTCCAAGTTAACATCACCTCCCCAGGTGAGACATTTTACAGTTCCTGTATTTCACAACATGATATTATATATTCCTGCACCACTACTGCACTGTTTATAGTAGACCTACCATACATTCCCCTCATTCCTGTTTTTCCCACTACTCTTTGTGGCTGATTTTGTTGTTTTGTGTACAATTTCTTGCCTGTCTAATTATGAATTAGAAAAAAGGATTGAAGAAAGAAGTAGAGTTTATATCCAAAATGATATACATACTGTACATTTTTAAAGACTGAATATATATTAATTTAGGTAAATATACAATGTACAGTTGTTATTGTGATCCAAAACATATGTTTTAAACTGTCCAAAATTCTGATTTAGGTTTGTGGTTACTTTTGTATCAAAAGGGCCCTGCCCGATGTGCTATCAGTAGAAAAAGCTGATCAAAAACCTTGTTTCCATAACAACAGATTGCTCTTTTCAGCCCACCCGTTGCTCACTTGTATCTGATGCCACCATTTTGCTTGTTGCTGGATTATCTAACAATAATACCTTATTATAGCAGCCAATTTCTCCACTGTCACTTTGTCTATAATTGCTCTCAAACAGCAGCCAGGTGTAGCTTTTGTATGAAACTGGTATTGGCAACTGGCAATAAAAAAAAAGAAAAGAAAGCTACATGTGAACCCACCCTGAGGCAGCTGTTGCAACTATTTTAAAGCAGGGAATGCAACTGGGATGCTTTTACATTCAGAAATAATTATAAGACACCTGCTTAAAAAATGTAGTGAAAAAAATGCAACTAAAAGCAAAAATAATTCTTAGGAGATTTTACAGGCTGTTTTTGTATAGTTAACCATTATAGAAGTGAAACTAGATATTAAGAAATTATGATAATAATAAATAAATGTTTCTGCTTGCACTTATGTCACTTTATTTCGCAGGAGTGGTGACAGTCGGTGAGATCCTGAGAAATAAAACAGCCTTCTTTGTGGATGTTCAGCAACACATGGATTATGACCCAGCGGCTCTCCACCTCCTGTTGGAAACCACTCTACCAAACAACAATTTAGTGGTGAGCCAGGGATGTCCTCACTATGTACCCACATATAGCGTATAGTGTGCAAGCAAACATTTAATCACTACCTCACTCAATTTTAAAGACAAAGTTTAATGCTCGGCATCTGCAATATTGCACAGAAATCACCCTACTACATTCTTCACGAAACAGTGTGGAACAAGGTCAATGTTGGTTTCCAGGTCTGTTTCTAGGTTGTTGCTCTCATGAGACATATTCTCTTGAAGAGAAGTACTTTTACACCCTTAAATCAGTGCCATATCCCAGTGGTGGGAGAAGTACTCAGATATTTCACTTAAAGGACCGGTGGTCCAACATGTAGGAGGATCTATTGGTAGTAATGTAATGTAGTATTCATAGATATGTTTTCATTAGTGTATAATCACTTAAATACAGGAAACATTGTGCATTTAAAGTAAGTTAGTAAAGGTACACAGTATTAGCATAAAAATATACTTATCAAAGTACCAAAAGTACTCATTATGCATCACGTCCCACTTCAGAATAATTAAATTACTTGACTGTAATTATTGATGAATTAATGTGTTAGCATCACTAATGTTGCAGCTGATAAGGCTGGAGCTAATTTTAGCTACTTTATGTACTGCTGGGTAGCTTAATCTATAGTAATACAGTTGATTTACATATTGTATTAATAATTAGAATCTGCAAAGTAACTAGGAACTAATGGCACAGGAGTTGTGTCTTGTAAAGCAAGCTGGTTTTATTAATACCGTATCAATCAGGCTAAAATAAATCAAATTTGAATTTACAGTACAATGGATACTGAAGTGACAACCTAATCAAAATCAGTCAGTGACTAGCAACTGTACATGGACCATTTTCGCTCGACTTAGTGGAATAAAAGGTTGTCTTCTCAAAGTCTTTGCTAGCTAGAACAGCACAGTTTATGTTGCAAAAAGTGCACAGAAAATCATTTAAAAATAGTTTGTCAGCAGGTGGTAACACATTACGGGAGTAAAATATCACTAGATGTGGTCGTACAGCAGCTGACCTATGTGACTCATACATTTCCCTTGAATTGGAACAAGCACATTTCTGTGATTGCCAACTTGAAAGACAATTAGGTCTGAATGACACTTGTATGCACACAGTTTTTTCCATTTCAAATAGTTACTTCGCCAGTGTCTCAGCATGTAAGTTTGATTGCACGCCATTCTTGCCAAGCATTCAGAGCAGCAAGTTGTTTTCACCAAATGAAGGGGGGGGGGATCAAACCCACCACATTCCAAAATGCCACACTGGCTCAGTATCTATCTAATTTTGTATCAGCAAGGAGAAGGTAGAGAAACTTTCTCTACCTTCTCCTGTGCTTCTGTTGCCAGTAATAACTGTTTCCACACTCTCTTAATGCTTTCGAAACAGATCCTGTCCTGGTTGGTCAACCTGCGTCACTGCAACTCCACCACACCATTCATGAACATGACAGAGACGGACGTGGCCATCTATAGGACCTTTTGCTCCATGTCTGTTGAACAGTGGTACAGCTTCTCAATGCTGATGGCTCGCCATCTCAACATGGAGAAAGTCATCTACAGAGTAAGACGGAATTCAGTCTTTTATCAAAAGAAAAATAACATGCTACACTTTCTTCTGAAGTTAATACTTTTTTCGCCACTTTAAAAGAAAAAAACAACAATCAAAGAATAAGAGAGTTTGATGATTGCACATTGTTCTGTATTGGCTGAATTCACAAAGAAAACGTTTCTGTTGGGCAGTTGCAAAACACATTTGATGCTGCAGTGTGTTTGAGGAACATGTACGTCAGAAAAAGATGCTTTTGTCCCTAGACAAAGCTCTGTCTCCCTCATACATAAAAAAAAGACTGTTTTTCCATTTGATCTAAGAAAACAACCACTGTCCATCCCAAAAACTCCAATAAACCATCCATATTTATACGTATATATGTATTGATATGACACTTGTAAAACACTTGTAGGTGTAGAGCAGCTCTAGTTACCTAGATACAGTGATTTAAAAAAGCATACCAGCAGGTTTATTTAATAGGCCTCTGTTTTATTTCAACATTTTCTCTGTTTGTTGTTTCTTTGTCCTAATTGGGGTTTTTGACATGCCTTTTGGTTCTAATCTAATTTCATCACCTACAGATGTACATACTCCTACTTAGCAACGATATATTTGCAACATAATTTCAATGCAAAAACAATGTCTTTCATTATTGATTGCTTGATTCCCAGCTGTATTTAAAGCTCAAAGGATCAAATGACTAACTATAATGTAAAAAGCATCACTTGCGTGGGCATAAACCCGAAGTATATTAGTTGCCCTCATCTCTTTTTAGTACGTTTCAGCTCATGGTTTTGGTTTTACGGTTTGCAACTTCACTGTTTGAGTTCATTTTACTTCTGTTAGCATAGTTTACACACATAGTGGGCAGTGGTAGGCCCCACTGTATGCCGCCTGCCAAGAGGCTGATATTTCCCTCAGGAGTCGGTGAAGGCCAAAACGGAGCTAAAAGGAGAGTAAATATCGGATTTACCAGTAAAGTAAGACAGTATATAGTTAGGCTAAGTGTTGGAAAGACATCTTTAGCTGCTTTGTTGAATTTTATTGTAGCATATTGTTTCCTGGTAATTTAGCTCTACTCTAAAAGTGTGCACAGTTAAAATAAGAACCGAAAACTATTTGACCAACAGAGACTAGCAATGGTTAATAATAGCCTCTAAAGTAATTTAATAAAATACATTTAATATATATGCTGAAACTGCTTTTTTATGTATCTTATTACCTTGACTAAATCAACCAAATTCTTTTAATCTAGACTGAGAGGAAGAATAAAGTGACAACAAGGACAGAGAAGAAGCAAAATGCCAAATGCTGCAATATGCTCGAAAACAAAAAGTGAAACTGTGACTGTGGGATATTCTTAGAAAGGCATTTTTTCATTATGAGGAATAACCTCTGCTGTTTAATCACTTTTATCCAAATTGGTGAAAGAGCACTTTGTTGCTGTTTTCCACGACATACAACCTTTAGGTTTAAAAGAGATCTGCAAGATAAAGCAATGCACGACAAAGGAAATGTGATCTTTGGAAACATAAAAAATGCACTTATAAATAAAACTATAGGATACTGTCCTACTTTACTTGAAAAGTGTCCTGAAATAACTTTTGTTATAAATTGGCACTATACAAATAAAATTGAATTAAACTGACTATAGAAACATGTTTTCTTTCTTTCAGATGGTGTTGTCTGAAGACATGCAGAGCCTGGTGGGACTCATGCTTCAGGTGGCTAAGGTTCTAACCAACATGATGAACACGTTTCTTCCTGCCATCAGTCAGCTGCAAAACTACCTGCTCTCCATCAATGACCTCAACCTGGTGTCCAACAACGAATTTAATGAAGTGTGTAGTCTTTACTATATACTATACAGTGCTTTACCCTTAATGTATTTGTGTGTGTGTATGTTTGTGTGAAACTATACTATAACAAAAATAAGAAAGGCAAATGCTTCAGTACTCAAAAATATTCCTGTGACCATACTCAAACAACTTTAAATTGTTCTGCTAAGGTTTGTTTTAAATGTTTTATTGAGGGCTCCCAGCTGGTATTACATGATGCCTCAAATTACATGACAAATACAATTAAAAGTTTCAGAAATCAAGTTTCAAATTTAAACTTTTCCCCAGATGACGAGAGGACTGAGGAGCAGCATCTCTACCAAAGCTACATTCGTCACCCTCTCTCGAGCATTGTGCAGTAACGGTATCATGGCTCTGTTTGGAATCTCCCAACTCCCCATCGGGTCGGAGTCAAGCCCCTCCTTCCCCGACGACCGCAAGAGGGAGGAGATGATCGAGCGGTTCAAGATCCCACGAAATGCCAGTATGTTGACAGCGCAGTCACCATTCTTAACCCATTTATATTTGATCTTGATATCCAGTGTTTTTCATGGGATTCCATTGCTATCAAAAGCATTTATCATTAGTATTATGTAGTAAAAAAGTAAAAGCAGCTACCATATAATCAACAAGAAATAACTAATAACTAATGATTAATGCACATCAAAGAGACATTTTCCTAGCTTTACGTGGTAGTGTTTCTATTTGTCTTCTTATCCTGAATCACATATTTGGCAGGAAAGTTTAACCAGTAGCTAGCTAGCTGTTCAAAGGAAATCTGGAGTTACCGATGATGGCTGTTTACCACCTTTAGTCTCACTTCACAATTGCTAAAGGAATGAGGATTAAAGGATAAGGCTGTTGATATTCTATTTTTCTTGTCATCAGCAAATCCCATGAAAAGGCCAAAACTAACAAATGAACTGATCCTACCACAAAGTATTGTTGAAACAACATGACCCTTTATACAGACTTATACATTGTTGGTGTT